GAGTTGAGAGTGAGAGTGTGTGTGTGAGTGGGAGTGTGTGTGTGAGTGTGTGTGAGAGTGTGTGTGTGTGTGAGTGTGAGAGTGTGTGTGTGTGTGTGTGAGTGTGAATGTTAGTGTCAGTGTGTGTGTGTGTTCAAACCCTCTTTGGGCTCATTTCCATCAGCTAAAATGGGAAAATCTCTCTGACAGTCAGACCAAAGCATCTGTCTTGAGAGCTAATGCCTGCGCTTCATCCGCTCCTACTTGAATTAGTCCCACAAATAGGCCAGTGTTTGAAATAATGAGTCAATTTAATGACTCTAAATCCAAAAGGTTTTGTCAGAAATGAGCAGCGTTGCCTTCTAAATCAGAACATTAGCACTGGCCCCTAAGATAAATTCAAATTGCGTTTCGCTAATAAAACGATGCTGTCCGTGGATCCGTTTACACAAGTACAGCTTTTAAGCTTGGCCAAAACAAATATGAACGGATTTCTCTGCTCTTACAGCAGTTAGCTTGCTATACACTAATGAATTTGTGCTTGAAAGCTGCTATTTAGCTCAGCGCTACACTCCACCTGAGCTCCAGTGCTGTAAACATTCATTTCATACTTTATTTTACAAGTGTTTTCTGATAGTCCTCTCAGTGTGGTTGTGCCTGAAAGAGAACATTGATTCATGTGTTAGAATTCAGCAGTAAAAGCCAAGTATATAAAAGTTAAATATTTTGAAAAAAAACAAAAAAACAATACATTTACTTTTTTTTTCTTTTTTAATTTTTTTTAAAAATTATTAAATGTTGTTTGCTTGGTGAATATATATATATATATATATGTGTGTGTGTGTGTGTGTAAAATAAGGAAATGTAAATAAGTTAATATCAAAATAAATGAAATAGTAATATAAGTTTATAATAGTTTTAAAATAAAAATATCTGAATATATGAAAAGTTAAGTAATATTTTAAAACATTATATATAAATACTAATTTAAAAAAAAGATTAATTGTTTGTCTTTTTATTTTTAAATTTTTTTTGTTATTTATATATATAGATAGATATATAGATATATATAAAATGTTAAATTAGGGCTGCCAATTGTAATCGCGATTAGAAATTCGATTAATTGTGCAGCCCTGTTAAATATATATATAATTTTAAAAAAGTCTTTTTTTAAATGATTGTTAATATCAAAATATCAAATTACAGAAAATATCAAAATTGTCAAGGATCAACGTGTTCCAGCTTGCGTGTTAAAGGGGTCATAGGATGCTACATGCACTTTTACAAGTTGTTTGAACTGAAATGTTGTGTGTACACAACCACCCTAAAATGATAAAAATCCACCTAGTGTTGGTTTTTTAATCTGGTTAAATCTTTACCCCTTTCTCAAATCGAGCCGATCTCAGATGCCTGTCTGTGTGACGTCACACACA